TTTCTATGAAGCCACAATTAGCTATAGGGAGGATTTGGATCTTCCTGATTTAGTGTAATAAGGTTTACTTGTTAATATCAAAAATAGAAAATTCCTTCTCCAAAAATCGAGTTGATTTTCAACATCAACATCAACATGCCATGTTGACTTCTCTCATCCCTTCTCGTCATGATCATATCATGATCATTCATAGAGAGTATATATCACAACGCAACAAACTTAGTGAAACTGCAAATTCCTCTTTATAGATAAAATTACCAAAAAGACATTAAAGATTGAATGTTCCAACGGATTGATTTCGTTGATTTCTTACGTTAAAATTTCATATTTATTTATTATGAGGGAAATTTTATACAAAAAAATTTAAAATTGTTCATTTTCAAATTATACAAGCAAGGAAAATTTTATTAAAATACATAATTAAAAAAATAAAATTTATGCAATTTAAAGCTTGGAAAAATAACTCCATTAATAATAATAATAATAGATTATTGAAGCAAAAAAAAAAAAATATATAATAATCAGCAAAGAATTTTTAGTATCTAAATATTATCTAAAAAGTTTTGATTAAATAATTAATTTGCGAATATCTTATCCAAAGGAGATATAATTATAATTAATATTAATATGATAATGAAATTGACATACAGTAATCGCCTAAAAATATTAAAATATTATTAATATTGTCGATAATATATAACAACCATAATTAGTAAACATCATACATAATTAATAAGTTAAAATCACATACCATTTTCAAATAATGCGTTAAAATCTTTAGGTATTGCACCATCTCGTTTATATAAAAGACTTTTGATTTGACATTTTTTGAATGTCAAATAACTATACTTTTGAAAGATTTCATCAGGAAGTTCCCAAGAATCGGTATCAAGTGGGTCTCCATGACATTTAGCTTTGTTGATTAATATTTCACACAACTCGTAAAGATCATACTTTGTACTATGTTGTATCATTCTTGACCTGAGATGTAAACATGGAATCATGTCAATACGTGAGTCATGTTCCATATTTAAATATCGAATCTGCTCCTTCGATAATGGATGTTTTAGTTTTGGTATGATAGGTGTAGTAAAATCTTTGGCTCCTACTTTTTCTGCTAATCTTAAAAGTTGTTGTTTTTCTCTTGTTAATAATGAAAACGAAAAAGGTGAAGATGACGACGGTGGTTGATCAGTGTTAGCAATTGTATTATTAATAGAGGTAGGTTGGTTGTCGTTGTTGTATGAAGAACAGGATGATGAAGATGAAGGGGATGATGATGATGATGATGATAATGGTGATGGTGAGGAAGTATTACTGAATGAATTCACTAAATCTTTTGAATTACCGTTGATTGCTTGGATAAATGAATCATCATTAAAACCATAGAATTCGATATTTAATAAATTTGATTCAAAATTAGTATTATCATTATTACTATAAATAAAATCCTCGACGAGTTTATCCTCAAGATAATCTAATATTGAAACAATTGAGCCATTGTTGCTATCATTAACAAGAATACTATTATTAGTATCGTTGACATTAAAATTTAAAAATGCATCATTATTATTCACATTGTCGTTATTGTTTATTTGTGGAGGAATATTTATAAAAGAAGATTTATTATAATCTGGAATAACCATATGATCATTTGTAGCAGTTGTAGTCAAATAATCTTGAGGAAGCAAACAAGAATTAGTGGTGGTAGTTGAACATAAATTTCCAAATGAATCAGGTGATAAGATAATTGAAGTATTAGTTCCTGACGGTTTATCATTATTATTATTATTATTTTTATTATTATTATTATTATTATTATTATTATTATTATTATTATTATTATTATTATTATTATCATCAGATTCTACAATTTGATCGTGACGAGGAATCATTTCGCTACTCCCATTTTTCTTATTATTAGTAAGTTTAGTTATTTCCGGCTTAATGGATTTATTTATTAAATTGGATTTATTGTTGTTGTTGCTATTAATATTTAACGATGGCAATGGTCTTTGACTAACATCGAGTGATAATGATAAAGAAATATGTTGTTGTTGACCATTATTAATATCAGAAGTTGATAAGGAGGAAGTTAATAAAGATTCACCAGGTGTTGTTGTCGTTGTTATTGCTTTATCAAAAGAGTAATCGGGATTTATTGATATAGCTTTCTTTATTTCATCTGTGGCAATACCATTACCGTGAATATTGTTCAAAGTACACTCAAACACCAATGATAATTTTTTGAAATATGAATTTTCTTGTTGTAAATGATTAATTAGAATGTTTGCTTGGTATTGATCATCTCTAAGAAGTTTAATAGTATTCTCAAGTTCATGAAGATGTCGTTCTTTTCTTTCTCTAAAAGCTCTTTGTGCAGCCCGATTTTGTGCTTTACGAAGAGCAGGTGAAGCAGGATTTGGTTTTCTACCAGGTTTTTTTCTTTGTGGTGTAGTTTGTGATTGTGAATGTTGCGATTGTTGTGTTGAGTTAGTATTCTGTTCTTCAAACTCATCGTCATTATATAATTCAAAATCGTCAACATCATTAGTATTTTCATTGTTATTATCTTCACTTGTATTATGATCAATAACAATAGAATTATTTTCTATATTTTCAGTGTTATTAGCCTCAAGTTCCGAAAATTTAGGTATTTTTTGATTTGGACCACTTTGTTGTGCATGATCTTGTTCGTTAGCAATATATTTTCTTTTTAAATCGTCTTGAATCAAAGGTGAACTTGACATTGTTTACAAATATTTTTAATAAATATGATTTTAAATAATAAAAATAATAAATAAATAAATAAATGTTTTTAAAAAATTAAAAAATTAAAAATTAAAAGAAATTGTTTTGAAAGAAAAAAAAAAATTTTTTTTTAAATATTGTAATTTAGTGATAATTGTATGAGTCATAGACTTTATACTGACTTCGAAATTTAGGAATAAAAAATTAGTAATAATATAAACACTGACTGTCACAGGAAATTTCAGGGATTGTTTTACATATATCACAAAAAGAAAGAGCATGCATGGGTTATTGACACACTTCCAAAACTTCGTAATCGGCATAATTTTCATAGAAGTTTAAATATTTTCATTGCCATTGATTTTTGATATATGACCATTGTTTATCAGATGATTTCAAAATAAGCAAGCAAGAGATGTTTTTTGACAGGGGGTGTGATCTCAGCGATCAAGTTCTTTCTCATACTTGTTGATCCACCATCTATTGCTATAGGCTGGGCCATTAAGAATATGTTTTGTTCTAGTTTGGGAAATGTTGAAAGATTCATGCAAACAAGCAAATCTGAGTAATTTTTCATATCAGTAGTTTATTTTTCTTCATATACATATGTAAGTTTATCACTTTGTAAACTGCTAATTTCCAAAGTGTATATTGTTGATATTTTGATTGAATCAATAACTCAAATATATTTAGGTGGCTTAAGAAACCTATATTTACATTGATAAATTCGGAATTGTATAAAGTATATATATTAATATTACAAAGTTGAATATCAGAAAACATATACAAGTGACTCTGGATATAACGACACTCTCGGGACCATAGTAAAATCTATTCTAATTGTTGTTATAACAAAATTTCATATGTTTTATATAACGACATCATAAGACATCTGAAAAAAAATTGGTCGTTATTATTATGTGGTCGTTATATCATATCCAGCAATCGTTGTGTCCAGAGTCACTTGTATCACATGATTCCAGGTTCCATACTTCCAAACGGATTATTTAGGACACAATTGAGTATTGTTCATACTTTAGCCCAAGATTCATAATCTTCAAATTGAATTTCGCCAGCAAGCACTTAATTGAGTGAAGTCAACATTGAAAAGGTCATATTATACTGACATTACAGAAGATAATGATGCATAGAACATGACAGTGTAAAGAGCTTATAGCAAAATTTTAATTAAGATCCGTGGTTACTTTCTGAAAACTTTATGTTAGCAATGAAGTCCCAAGAATTTCATTAGATCTCTTGTATTTAATTAAAGATTACGGTTTGAATTTTTTCAGATTTAATTCTTTTTATCACATTTGTCACGTTTTGAGCCCCCCCCCCCCCCGAAGTATCTTGCAGCAATTAAATATAATAATAATAATTATTATAATGTCGGTTACACTGTTATGCATAAATACTTATGACATATCACGAGTCTTTTGTTTGTTAAATGGATAAATATTATTATATTTTTGGAAGTATTCAAGTTGCTTAAATTGATAATAAATTTCTTGTGTAACCATGTAAGCAAAAATACTAAGCTAAGACAGCAAGTGTTCTCAATGAACATTTCCAAATACCAATTCAATATTGGCATTAACATTCGTACTCCAATTATTATTGACTGACAAATGCAAACATCAACATCCGTTAATAGCTTCATATATCCAAAATCAATACTCAGGATCTTTTTCTTTGTCAATGTATACAAACATACAAAACAAACATACACGCGCGCACACATGTTTGTTGAAGGCGTTGATCACATATGGGGAAGGGTTCAACAGCAACCTATTTATTTATTTATTTATAACAATAGGCTATAGATAGATTCCTTTTGTTACTAATAAATAAAATTTTAAATTAAATGATCAAAATTTGCGTTTAAAAATGTATTACGAATAAATATGAAATATTATTATTTATTATTATTATTATTATTTGTAACCTTTCGGAAATTATCCGAAAACCTGAAATTTTCTGCATGCATTGTTACACGAACGGTTCAATGTTAAAAAAGTGCGGACTTTTCTCATTTTACAATATTGATCTTTCGGTTAAATTTAATAACCTATTAAATACGTGTTACACAGTAAATCTCGTTTAACGGATAGATAGTTTGGGCTTGGTTTCTTTATCAAGTTAATAGAATTGCGTAACATCAGTAGTAAATAAGATAAAAGTTTAGATCATATATATGTACACACACTATGCAATATAAAATAATTTGCTAAATAGGCAATTGTGCAAAAGCTTTTCTTCGGATTAACGGGGGATTTGGAATTTTTTATAATCTGAAATTAATTGTCATAAATTAATTCGGATAAACGGGATAAAAATTTAGGATTGTTGCAATTTCCTTTATCCATTTAATAATAATAATAACAATTTAACTAAAATAGGCATTGACGTAAAATTTTCTTTTTTTGATTCTCTTTTAATTCATTCAGGAAACTTTTGCTAATATTTCTTCTTGCATTAGAAAAAATTGGAACCTTTAATCGATTCCATAGCCTAATCCATAGTTCTTTTTAACTTCAGGAACTTGAGTTTGGTTATCTTCAATCGCCTCCTTTCTTGAATTCGTTCAATGATTTTTGATCAATTAATTTATCCCGCTTTTGCAATCTCGAATTTATTTCTATGTAGTCATTAGTAGATAATGGATCATCAAAGCTAAAACAATCAATTAATTCTTGGATTGAATCTTATCATTATCAGATGGTAAAATTAAATAATCTCCAAAGAAGCGGGATACCAACTTTAGAAACAATTGTACCAACAAGGTCCTAAGCTCCTTCAATAAAAGAAATAGCATCAAATATTGTAAGTTTAGGTACAGGTATTTGTTGATTAATTTTATTGTCATATGCATCAAATTCTGTTTTGAAATAAAATCCGCCGATACCTTGATTTAAATGAATGTACGATTCCTCAGCATGTGGAAATTTGTTTCATCTAATATGTTACACGGAGCCTGTTTTCCTTGAAACTTCACTAGCATATAGTTTTCACCTCTTTAAGTTGGAGATTCAATCGAGATCCAATTGAAGTCTAGTTTGTCACCTATTTTTTATTACAAAAACATTCACAGTAACTTATATTTTGTTGGTTATGTTTCCACCATCACGAATTCCAATAATAAAAACAAGCAAAGTTTTCCTATCAATGTTACTCAAACATCTAGGGTCTTTATATTTATTAATGAAGAGAGATGTTAATTTAGACGTGCCTGTAGCATACAGTAAGTAAAACAATAACATTGTCCTTTGGTCTTTTAGTGCCTGAAAATGGTCCATTAGCAAGAGTTTTGGAAGGTTCTAGCTTCCAGTAAAGTGTAGTTTCGTCACAATTATATACACCATCAAGATTCCATTGACTAAGAAGATTTTTGAGATATTGTGATAACTCCCAAAGGTGTAGAATTTGACTCACCACAACGAACATGTTCAGAAATATAATATCGTTTTTTAAACCTATCAAACCATCTATTTGATCCTTTAAAGTCATTTATATGAAAATGTCAGGGAAAAACTCTAGCTTTTAAAATAATAATATGCCCAGACAAAGTATAATTATCATTCGTTGGATATTTGATCTCACGATATGAATTCAATGATATAATCATTCTTTTTTAGAATTTCGGAAATAGTAGATTCACCAACATTATATCTAGACGCAAGCTGGTCGGTTTTTATGTTTGGGTTTTTATTTTTCTCGATGCATATTTCTACTTTTTGTAAGATTGTCACAAGTGTATGTTGGCCCAATTTTTATTTCTCATCGGTTTATAAAAATTTGGATTAACGGGACAATTTTACATATTAATACAAAATGGCTCCAAAAAATTAAATTTTTTTTTCGATTTGCGGTTTATAAAGTTTTGTTATTGATATAAACGTTAACGGGGCCTATTACTGTGTACATTACACCAAAAAAAAAATTTTAAAAGTATTTATTTCCTTTATTCATTTTATTCAATTCATTCAAAAATGAATAATTATTTAAAGACTACAAAGTCTTAGAATACTCATAGTAATAGATACTATAAATCGGGTGCCTATTCTATCACTGGAATATTGACCAATTACAATTTTGTAATATCAAAATTTTTTGATGATACAACTTGACACATAAATGATGCAATAAAAAATATCCATATGATTTATTTTGACGCTTACAAATCAACCGAACCAACTTGAACCTATTAGATGAGAGATATTTTTTATTTTTGTATATCACTGCTTAAATTAGAATTATCTCAGACGACGTCGAAGACTGTCATTTATTTGACAGAACAAAATAAAAAAAAATTTTTTAGGAAAATTTTCTTAAAAATCGTCAGAATTAAAATGTCACCAACCAATTCATTAATAATAGGATGGCATTCCACGTACTTAATATATGTGGGAATCATATCATAGCAAACAGAATAGAATTTATTTTAGACACCAAACCTGAAAAAATCACCTTGATCTCTCCTAAGAAAAAGATCATTTCTAATAAAATAACCAACTATACTAATAATGATTTGATTGTATAAAAATAAAGAGTTTCATATAGATGATTTGACCACTGAAAAGATTGATTTGATATTGATAATGACTTAAAATTATCTGAAAAAACAGCTGCAACTGCTCATGAACAAAAAATACCAATTAATGTTGCTGAATTACCACAACTTTGTGATTTCTGATTTATGCCAACATATCGTGATGGAAATTTACAAGTAGCTATTTCAACAAGTGATACTGGGCCTCACATAGCTCAAAAACTGAGACAACACATAATTGAAAATATACCAAAAAATATTTCAAATGCTGCCAGAAATGCTGCTTTATTAACACAACTTGCTAGTGCAGAAAATATATTAAAACTTCCAAAAATTGCTGATAAATTATCACTTAATCAATTTGCTCAGTTATCAGAACCTGAAATTAAAAAATTGACTGAAAAAAATGAATCCAATGATAATGATATGGTTTCAATTTCAAAATCAAATTTATCATTGAAATCAAAAATAGGCATTGAAATTAATACTAATGAAGGTGGATTGAAACTTGTGAATGGTAGTATAGCTATAGAACATGTGGCTTATGCTTTAACTAGTCCTATTTTTATTTATCCAGCTACAAGATCATACTATCTTGGTGAATTAAGTTTATATTGGTCTTCACAATCACTTAATAATGCATTTGGAGAAATTAATCATGTAATAAAGGCTGATACTTGTTTTGGTGCATCTACCATGGTTTTTGGCACTGCATCTAATGATGTATGACGAAACTTTTAACTTTAATCATTGATGTGACGAAAGTACTGACTAAAGGTGGTTTCTCACCAAGGGACATTTTGACAATTTGACGAAAAATTGTTGATGAAAGTAAAAATTGAAATTGAAATTTTTTTTTTGTTTTATATATTTTGTTTATAATAATATGCCAACAATGTTAATACTGTTGTATAATATGAGTGGTTCTGCCCTATAGAAAATTTGCATATGGCAATTCTGTATGAATTATAATTTTTATTGCTATGAAATGATTATTATAAAAGATAGAGAATTATTCCAGAAAAATTTGTAAAATATTAATAATAATTACTATTATATTGCAAGCGTGTGATCCAAGTTTCCTAGTTAATAGGTTATTTATAGCTCAACACACAGCCTACCTGCTGACTTACAGTTGATTCTATTGTTTGACACACAGCCTACCCACTGACTTATGGTCAAGTTTCCTTTATTTATATATATGTATGACACACAGCCTACCTGCTGACTTATGGTCAAAGATTAATAATAAAAATAACTTTATCCTCCTGGATAAAAAGGTCCCTAGGTTCTATGTAAATGATTATATCCCAAAGGTGTCCCCTTGAGATGTATCTGAATAATTAAAAGGGTTCTCAACTAATAATTGAAGGTTGGCCAGACCATTAACCATTAGAAGGGCTGGGGGGTCAACCACACTGGGTTTATTAGTTACTTACAGTCAAAGACTATTTTATGTAAGGTTATATATTTATTAAAGGTATTATTATGTTGTTATCAAGGTTGTTATCAACAATATTAGCAATTTATTTATTAATCATTCTTCTTGACTTGGTCTAAAGCCAAGTGTATTTATACCTCTTGGGGCAGTACAAATAATGTGATATGTGCTACCCTACTCTCCAATAATATGCTTATCAACTAATTACTAATTCTAAATAAATATTTACATCAGATGAGTAGGTTAATAAATGTAAATATAGAAATATGAATAAGAATAATCTTTCATATGGCACTGCGCAATGTGCGGCGTAGCTGTTACAATAATTTAGCGCATCACATGACTTCCGTAGTAAATTCGTTCTAATTGGTCAATATTAACCAGGTAGTTGATAGGTACAAGATTTACTATCTCACAATAGCAATCCGGATATCCTATCCATTTAAATTATAGCAATTTGGATATCCTATTTATTTTCAGATCAAGCTCTAGTCACATAGTTTATCACATGAATGATCTAACAATCCTTTCTTTCTGACCATTTGTTTTATAATAATTTCCAAATAAAATACTAGTGATAATAAATAAAAAAGCTACTCAATCGCAACTTTTTGTTCAAGTTGATCACCTGAATATTTTTGAAATCTTTATTTGTAAATGGGAAAATCCTTTACTCTTACTCATTTTATTAAAAAAACCAATTATTTTGTGGATCTCCAGATTTATTACATAAAATTTTTAAAATTAAATATTAATGATTGAATGGACACTTATTGATTCTCTAATGTTATATGGGGCATGCTGCAACAAAACCATACAAAGTGAACATTGGTAAAAGGAATCTACTTGGGGGTTACATGATCATTTCTTTATCCCTTAAACTAGCTATTGTACAAATTTGTACAATTAGATTTTTTTATATAGAAAAATTTTTCTGATCATCATGCTTTCTAATTAACGAATGATATTTGGGATTTTATACATTGATCTATATATAGAAATTCGGCCATTATTATTATGGGTTTTGTAAAACTGTAAAAAGTCTACCATGCCCGTGTCAATCATTACCTTAAAAATTAATAAAATTTTTTATTGTGTGATTTGGTTAATTTTGATTGGTGGAATTTTGTAATTTACCAATAAATTTTTTGAAATTCACTTATTTGACAATGTGGACAGTTTAAGTGATAAACATTAAAACTAACTGATCTCTGTATATCATTACTTAGGTGATGCAGTTTTTAGGTTTTTGATACTGTGAGCATGTGATTTCACACACAGCTTGTGATGCGTCCAACAAATATATAAGATAAAATAAATGTAAAAATCCAATATATAAATCTCCCTGTATCTGCACACAGCTCAGGGTTCTCAATACTCAATACCAGGCCTCTGTATCCATGCACAGTTCAGAGCCTACTCAAAACACTCTATTGTGCAATTCTCTCTCTCTCTGCAGTACTAATGCTAAGTACTGTTGGCACAAGCCTATACATGTGGTCAAAATTAAAAGTCCTGTGATGCAATTGGTTCTCTGTGAGACGCATTGACGCAGATGCAAGACACAGATGCAATTCATGATGTGAGACACAATTCGTGAATGATGGAATATGCACTGTCTTACAATAGCATTGTAATAATTTAATTTTCACTGTTATCAAATTATAACAGTTTTTACAAATTTTACGTCCAATTTCGCAAATACAATCCTAGAAGTCAAATTACTTCTAACAATCAATAATTACATTCATATATTTATATAAAATTACAATAAATAATTAATTAATAAAATACATATTATACAAATGTATCTTATGTTTCCCGGGATGCTTAAAGTAACTTTTGGAAACATATTAATATTAATAAAAGTCACAAAATTATGTAACATTTTCCCAAATTACCAAAAAATAAAAAAAAAACGATCATGGATTGCATCTTGCATCAGTCATAAAAATTATGATGAGTGACGCAAGATGCAATTTTACAGATTTTTAATTGTATCTGATGCAATTCAATAATTTTAGTGACATGTATACACAAGCCTAAGATAATAAAATAAAAAGAATATATATAAGAAATATTTACAACCATACCACTTGAGGCATCCCTACAAGCAGCATAGAACAATCAAATGGGGGTGTTCCTAACCAATGATTAGTGGCTAGACCACTAATCATCAGAGAGGACCATGGAACAATTCACAATAGCTTTTCCTGTTAACTATGCAAAAATTCATAATAAGGTAAAATGTGTTCATTTAATTATTAACAATGGGGGGTGGGATATTTATTCAATTGTTATAGATTATTATGAATGTTATTAACATGATTCACCTCATTCTTCTCACTTGGTCTAAAACCAAGCCTTTTTATACCTCTTGAGGTATTACAAATAACATGACCTTTACAATATTTTGTCCAATAAAATATACTTATTAATTTTATTTTCTGTATTACTGGCTTACTAATTGCTAATTACTAATGTTACTAAATATTTAGGTCAACTGAGCAATTACAAATAATTTGATTAATAATTCAAAGTAAATAATTATGTCATAAAGATAAGTTAAATATAGAAATGATGCAATTGGTGTTTGAATCTGAATCTCAAATGAAACTCATTAAGGAGGTTACACATTATCAAGATCATGTGGTGAACACATGATTTTAAGCTATGGTTGGTTCGGTCTAAAGACCTCCTATGGCTGCATCATGCACTCAAATTAATTTCATGATTCATTCAAAAATGCAATAAAATTTTTTAAAAAATGGTTACACATCACATGATTTTGGTTAAAAACTATTTTCCTTACTGCCAAATTTAGATATGATGGTCGAGTATTAGGCTAAATTTAGGAATGATGACCAAAACTAGTCTAAATTTAGCAATGATCTTAATGCTCAAATTTCTCATGAGCATAGTAAAGTACACTACAATAAATAATTTTTTGGAGAAAATCTCTTCATTACATTAAAAGTAGAAACCTATTTTATCAACTAGGACAAAAATGACTTCTATACTTTTAAAATTTGCCCAAAATTTAGGAGGTCTTTAGACTAAGCCAACTATACTTTGATAATGTGTAACCCTCTTAATGAGTCTCATTTGAGATTCGGATTCAAACACTAAATGTAATGATCTACATGTGTAATGTGGCGCAATTTGTGGCGCAACAGTTACGATAAATATAGAAAGATGATCATTAATCGTGATGTAATATTTAGCGCATCACATGACTTCCGTAGTAAGTTCGTTTTAATTGGTCAATATTAACGGGCAATTGGTTGGTCCACGGTTTACAATCTCACAATACCACCCAAACAAATGGGGAACTCAATCAAAAGCAGTTCTTGCTTTATATATAACTCTAGTAATGGTAAATGCATTGTACATGCTGATAATTCACTTCCAGATATTCTTATTCCAAAAACATGAATCTTACTTATTTGATCTGCTACTGTTTTGGGCAGTCTTTTCACAAAATAACTAATTAGTGTAAAGGATCATGGAAAATTGTATAATAGAATTCAACAAACAAACTTGATGCAACAATTTATTGATATTAAATATGATAATGAGTAAAAGAATAAGGTGAAGATAATTTGCACAATTCTTTTGCATTAGATTCATAAATGCAAAGAATTGGCTTGTTGACTTCCACCCAGGATTCAAGCCTTGCTCTGGCTTGTTCCAGATAATATTTGTGAGGGAAATCCTCAACCTCACTTTCATTGCAAGTGATCAATACATGAAATTTATACAACAAGTCATAATCAACATGTTTTAAATTTGTTATGGTCAATATCCTCCTGGGTTTCAACAAAACACCTAGATTAATAAAAAATGATTTACTGAACTCAATGAATACAAGCTGTTCACTCATATCTGTAGCTATTGCAATTTGTGTTTCCATGCTGATTCCACATAATACCTTTTTCTTAACTTCCCCAATTGCCAATACAACCAATACCATATCATATTCATTTTGATGGCAAACACATTTACTATCAGCACTCAAATTATAACCATATTTGACAAGTGTACAGTGCAGAAGGCCTATAATGGGAACTTAGAAAAATTGAAATATCATGTGATCCACACATCAGATTTTTAAAAAAATACCACCATTGAACTCAGCTTTAAAAAAGGAATTGATTTATGGAATAAAAAATTTTTCTCAATTTTCAATTTGTAGATCTTTCTTAATTTAGTAATTTTTTATTTACAACAATTTATTTAAATTACATTGTTAATTTCATCATAAACCATATCAGGAACTCGTCTATGGGATTTATATTTTTTATTTGCAAATTCAGCTACTTTTCCTGTTAGACCTTTTCTGTAAATGTCCATATAACACCATGATTTTTGTGCATATCTATGTAAAGTAATTAAAGGAACTGAATCTAATGCTTCTGGAACTGTTTTTTGCAGACCAGTCCAGGTATAATTACAATTATTACAAGTGTAAAACTTTGCAGCACCCCAATACATCTCTATCCAATTAAGTTCACAGTGATACTTTGGGAAAAAAATGCATTTATGTCCATGTTGCTCAATAGCCTCTTGTAACCTTGATTTTTGAGCAACAAAATCATCTTGCAAAGAAAGAATTCGGCGCATACAACAATCTGTTCTGGTATTATCAATAACTTTAGATTTACCTTTACACTGTTTGCAATCACCAGGAAGTCCTTCTTTCCATAAACCTCTCTCAATCAGAATTTGTTTCATTCCTTTTGGTAAATTTGGGTGCTCTGTATGATTACTTGGAAACACCATTGATTGAAATGTTTTATTGGGTCCAAAGTAGGTATTTCTCATTATTGCTTGTTTCCCTCCAGGTTTAACATTCATATTAATAGCATTCAATCCATCTGGTGGCATTGCACCATGATTGGTGCTGTTATCAAAAGCAAATACACCAATTGCATTAGGATGTAATGCATTAAAAATTGGTATTGCATAGTCAACAACTTGTTCTAAAAGATGATCCACAGTCCACCAACCTTCTTCATTTTTCCCTGGTCTTAAATATTTTCTGGCTTCTTTTGGTAAGTCTGGAAATTGTAAAATTTGACTTTCTGATAATTTAAGCCTACCAACTGTTTCTGTGAGAAATTCACTCACCATTATTGATTTACCTTGGCCTTTCCTTCGTAATGGTTGTTCTCCAAGAGGTGCCCATACTATTGGTCGATCATCATTTGCATAAAACAAACATTCATCATGAACTACAAATAAATGTAATTTTTCATTCTCTAATAAAATAGGATTCTTTTGTTCCATATTCTCACCCTCAAAGATTGGCATATATTTTTCATAAAATTGCATTTCCTCAAGGAAC